CCCTTTTAAATTTTTTTTTTTTTTTTTTTTTTTTTTACAATGGTGTGTTAGTTTCTGCTCCACAACAAAGTGAATCAGCCATACATATACACACGTTCCCATATCTCCTCCCTCCTGCGTCTCCCTCCCTCCCACCCTCCCTATCCCACCCCTCCGGGGGGTCACAAAGCACTGAGTTCCCTGTGAAATCTTATCTTCCAAAAAGTGTGGCTTCTCAAACCCAGGTTTACAGTGTAGCCCTCCCTGCCCCCCTTTTTGCTCCCATCCTCACTAGAGGAAATGGTCTGGCACATTGGTGTGGTCTGCTAGTCAGAAGAGACCGCAAAAGTGAGCAGGTCACTTCCTGGTGAGAGAGCTGCCAGCTTGTTTCAGATCTTTGGGCATTTATTCATTCACTCCTTTCCATCTGCCCTCCTCCTTTCCTCCCTTCTTCAAAAAATGCTTATTGAATTTTACTGTATTAAAAGATACAATTTAATACAATGCCTGCCATATGGCAAACATTCAATAAATGGTAATTGTTGTAATTATTCAAGGCCCTAAGCTAATATCATGGGGCGTTTATGATGATGAATCAGACTTAGAACCTAGTGTTCAAGGAATTTGTACTCTTGGGGTGATGCGATGCGTTCATACATAACATTTTACAAAGTAGAAGCAACTGAATGCCATGAGACATTTTAGAAGTTTTAGGCCAATATAGACATTTTAGCAAACACAGATATTCAAAAAGAAAGAAAGAAAATCACTTGTAATTTTATCACCCGCTGCTAAACATTATTAATATTTCTTGTATAGACTTCCAGTACTTTTTTTTGTATATACACAGTTTTTTTTAACAAAATGCAGTCATAATGTTTGGTAATGTTATTTAATATCATAATGGCTTTGTTTCAAGCTATATACAAAGTTTTTATTTAAAAAATCTTCTATTGTTGGCTATTTAGGTTGCTTTTAATTTTTACCCTAATAGACAATGAAAACAGGCTCAATCTTTGAGTACATCCATTAATACTTCTGAGAATACATTTCTAGCAGTACGATTGCTTGGTCCAAGACTATGTATATTTTTAGGGATTTTAAAACATATTTGCTCAGCTACCCTCTAGAAATACCAACTTACACTCCCATCAGGAACATATCAGGTGCTCACACACTCTCATGAGACCGGACACTGTAATTTTTCAAAAGCTGTTGGTTTGAGAGGTGGAAGGTAGTATCTTACTTCCACATGTTATTTCACTTCTTTTGTGAAATTGCCATTTTATGTTCTTTGCCTGTATGTTTTTCCTCTGGGGGAATTTCATCATTTATTTTTATTTTTTTTATTTTTATTTTTTAAATTTTTTTTATTTTTTTTTGCGGTACGCGGGCCTCTCACTGTTGTGGCCTCTCCCGTCGCGGAGCACAGGCTCCGG